ACAATAAATCACAAACCACAGTGGCTAAGTTCATAAAACAAACTAAGCCAAAACTAAGCAAACTACATTATGGCTTAATATACAATATGCAAATCCTTTGTCTGTATTTGGCACTAAGATTTAGTTGTCTTAGTGACTAAATGAATAGCTATTTACAAATCTGTTTTCTAAAAATACAGTAGCTATTAAGTATTATCTATTTATTTCAAAAGTATCTAATCTGTCCTTCATCCTGATTACCAAGGTAACAATAAGTACAATAGTACAAATAACAGAACATGTCAAACCTTAAATAACAGTAACATTAGAACTCAATAAAATTATTAAGAATGACAGAAAGAATACTTGAAATGCCTGGACAAATACATTGCTGTAATTTAGCATTAAAAAAATTAGATTATCTTTAGGTGGAGCATTCCCAAGTCAGGATGTCACAGTAGAAAAAAGCCCCCCCCCCACCACATAAAAAAGAATGGGTAATTTTTAGCCCCAGAATTATTGTTGTGGGCTGTAGAGCCATCATTCAGAACAAACTACTCAGCAATGAAGATGTGATATTTAGAAAGAAGCATGCAAACTATTTAATCCCAGTCTTAAACATACACGTCAATGTCCCTGTGTCCCCAAAGTACAAAATAATGCAGCCACTAGATCAGTGTTTTTTAAATTGTTTTGACCCAATTACCAGTTTTCCTAATGTCAAATAATGCCATAATTCCCACCTCCCAGCAAAACACCCTACACCTGACTGTGGTTTTATACAAGCAGCTCAGCAGTGGCAGTCCCAAATTGAATCTTCAACTCACAAGCAATTACAGATCACTCTAATACCCCCAGAATATGCCCAAAGTACCCCCAATTTAAGAACCACTGCGCTAGACAGTAGCCTAATATAGCCTGCAACTGATGATACCCTGAGAAAGTACATAGCTGAAGTTGTTGATGCACATGCAGGATAGTCAGATAAGAGGTGCTTCTTGAGATAATTGTTTCCTAAGCTATTTATAGCTTTAAAGGTAAAAGCATCTTCATTGGGCTAATAACAGATATTTAATACAATTATCTCAGAATTGGTGTAATATGGCTCCATTTAGTTAAGCCAATCAGAATTATAACTGCTGAAAGGATAGCTCTATCTGTAGTGTATTATACTAATACAATCAGGAAATCACCAGAACCAAGCTATCACAAACCAGGAATAGCTAACTGGCAGGTTAGCCCAAACTGCAAAAAAAAAAAAAATACTTCATACACATATCATATCTTATTTTTTAAAAAACATATTTATTCATTTGTTCATAAAAATATCTTAAGTACCATCTAGTAACAATTCTGCATCAAGGAACATCCTGAAATTGTATACATGTTTTTTTGATGAAGCACGACCCCAGCAAGAATTGGTTGAATATCAATATTCTGGACTTGAGAACCACCTAACCACAGTTGCCCCATTTGTAAGGATTTAGCCACAGTTTATTAGACCCTTTATTGCATCCAGACAATGGTTCAGCACTGTTCAGATTTTATAATCCTAACATTCCATAAAGATACAACTCCACTAATATAAATGTTCCTGGCCAGCAGGTGGAGTACATTTATTTATGTATACAGCAACTTGTATGCTATACTAACTTATCATTAATCATTTTAAGAAAAGAACTTTCTTTTATTCTAAAATTGATAAGCTTTTGTTAATATCACATATTACAACACCTACTGCGTGTATGATCATTGGGTAAGGAAATTTGATGGCAGTCAGTTTCAGTTCTTCAGTAGTCATTTTTGGTGGACTGGGTTGCTTTATTATTATATTGGAGGTGTTATATTAAGCATATAGAAGCTTAATGTAATATTCAAAAACTTTTTAAGCCATATGCTATAAGAAAAAGAGGATGTGCCTGTAGCTAAAACATTTCTTTCCCTTCTAGCAGGTAGCACAGATTGCTTCAGTTTATTTAGAATAAATTCTTTTTTGTCATACATAATTCTAATGTTATAGTTCCCATGTTTCTTGTGAACTGCCCAGAGTTCTTGGTAGTCAGGCACTGTACAAATTGAAATAAATAAATAAACCAAACTTTTGGCCAGCTTGTATTCACCGATAGTACAGGATACCAGCCCCTAAGGTCAAATGCAGGATACACATTTAGTATATCAGATGCAGAATTTCCTTCTTCATGAAAGGCAGATGTATGTTCTGGGGCACATACAGAACAAGATAATTTGTGCTCCTCCCTCTTTACTAGGAAAAATGAAAATCCAGGAAAAAAATGAGAATCCAGGTAAATGAAAGCAGGGGAACATTTTATTTCTGTAAAAATAGATGCTTTAGCCAGGAATGTGTGCTTAGATCTTTGACTGATTTTCCTGTGTGGTGCTAGTTAACCTTTATTGCCTCTTGTGCTTATGACTGTACAAATTGGGGAAGGGTGTATACAGTAATCTCCAGTGTTGTTATATATTTTAGGATATGTTCATGAATCTCTCTTTACAGCTTTTAAACTGTAATTCTATCTTACACAGTGGGGTTAAAGGGAGAACACCAGGTGAGGCACCCCCAAGAAGTTAGTAATAGCAACCGTAACTCCCAAATTGCTACATCAATGCAGGAGGGCCGGGATGAATAGATCCAGTGATATTCTGGGAAAGGTTTGAAAACTATAGCCTTTTACTTTATTGGCTCTTCCATATTGTTACACAGATTGAAAAGCTGATTCAAACAGCATTTTTTATTTTTTTTCTTTGCATATCAGAGTTGCACTCCATATTAAATCCTCTCAAACTCCAAATAAGCTTGTCATGCAACTAGCATAGCAACAACTGCAAATATGCCTGCTACATGAAGTGTATGTCTCCTGATCCAGATCAAATGTGAACCTGTGATGTTTTATAAAATGTTCTCTTTTGTGGCTCCACTTGCTGAAACTAGATCTGATTTTAAAGTATATTTTATTTTTTTTCTGTACTTTTATTTGCCACTATTTGGGTATAATATGTATTACCAATCAATAGCATTTTTATTATTAAAGTTCATATTTAAAGAAATGATACAAATACAGCATTATATCAGGTAGAGTGAAATAAGAGGGTTTGGAATAGATGCAATAGAGGGAATGAAAATGCAAAATGAAGTTTAAAAAGATTCTTTAGTGTTTTTGTTTTTACTCAAATGCTATTTTTTCATACTTTAGCAAATTCCAAAATCAAAAAGCTTACAAAAGGATTAAATAAGTGGACCCAAATTATTGCCCCTAACCAGGTATCCCATAAACAAGCTCGTTTGGCATCTTTATTTGCATCAAATAAGTATTTCCTTTCCATATATACAGTAACTGGAACACACAAATATATTAGCAGAACTAGAAAAATAGCCTGCTCATTACAAGATAACATGTTAAAATATGCATATAGTGTTCAGATATATACTTTCCCCACATTCCCCATTTTTATAGGAATGTACCTGTACTTTCCCCACATTCCCTTTTTTTATAGGAATGTACCTATTTAGAGTACATAAACTGCCCCAGCCCCAAAGGACTCTGGGTGGTATACAACAAACAAAAACAGACATGATAGTTTAATCAGAACCATTATTAAAAACAAAAAATAAGGAAGCAAAGATAAAACCCTAAATAAATCCAAGATTGGCTACAGTCAACTGGGATCAAAAACAAGTTGAAATACTGTAACAGTATTTCATAAAGTGGGGGCTATTACAGAGAGAATTGTAGAATCTCTTCCATTTATACTAACCTCCCTGAAGGGTTTTTCCTTTTTTAAAAAATCAAGGGATGTTCCATGCATTTCTGTTTTAGCACTTTACACGCACACATTTCTTGAATCTTCATAGATGCAGACATATCAGGATCTTGGTTGAATTTATATCTTGTCTTTCTTCAGGAGCTCAACACTTCTTACATGGGAATCTCTATTTTATCCTAGAACAAGTATGAGATTGAGAGGGTATAACTGGCCAAAATAATCCAGTGACTTTTCTTTGCTGAGATTGGACTTGAACCTCTCCAGATTTTAACTTAACCAAATTAGTTCTCACAGGAATATTCAGGTATGAATGCTATACTGTATAGAATACTGATCAGTTTATTATGGAGAAAAACATTTGTAGAAGCTTTACTCTGTCAGGGCAATAACAACTCTATGATATGGAGAATTGCTAAAGAGGGAAACACTAGAATTATGAATAGCTTGACTCAGCTACTAAGAACATTATTCAAGACTAAATTAAACACTGTATTTAGCCATAAATGATTATAGCAATACAGTTAAGCAACTGGATTGTCCTTTTAAAACCATTGATTAGGTCATTCAGATTTTTATTAATTTGCTCTTTTTTTTTCCTGCTCTGCTTACTGCAATGTTGGCAAGGGCCATGAGGGATAGATAGATGGAAAGAGGTCAAGAATTTGAAGCATGAGCGTGCAAATAGAATGTGCAAATGTTTGTATGAAAATGGCCTTTGCTAATAACATGAAATGTTGTTAGCAAAGGCCATTTTCATACAAACATTATCTACATGCTTTGCAATAGATTGAAAGCCTCCATTTGTGAAAGCATCTGCTTTTTCATCATATATTATAAGTAAGCAAAAACAGCTGATTTATGGGAAAGATGGAAAATTTACAGAATTAAAAGATGCATTTAGAATTTGAAATGAATAAATTGGAGTTGGGTACACAAGAACAGCTCAGAACATCTGAGCATCCATTAAAAAAAATTGTATCAGCATTCAGAGCACTTTTATACCAATTCCATTTGTAAGCGTCCCACAGTGTTTCTCTACAGCATCCTGTTTGGGGAGGGGAGCTTTCATTAACTGCCTTCACTAAATAATTGGGAATTTAAAACCTTACTGCAAATCACCCAGAGATCAATCAGGAAATCTTTGTATGGTATCGAGTCTACAGACATAACGTTTATAGAAAGTTTAATAATGATCATTCCTTTGCAAGAATGTGTTTTATAATTAACATTCTACAACATTTTTTTAAAAAATGAAAGTTTATTCATAGTCAATGGCTCAAATAGCAAATAAAAAGAGTTTGGTAAGGCATCAGCCTATGACAATTGTTATTATATGTGTCCATTGGCTTCATAACACCTTGGTTCCCATTACACAAACATCATAATGCTAGTGGTTGAACTCCCTTGGTTAGTCAGACTGAAAACAAATACACAATGAGGACCAATCTGCTTTGTCAGCCACATCAAGAACTAATTCTGCACATGATAACATCTACTGCAGGATGTATACACAAAATTTCTTGATGAACAAATGTTCTCTAAACAGCCACATCACTAAGGTCTATCAGCATGTTAGATACATGTGCTGTCTATTTTGCTCAGACATAGGCTTACACAGATATATTTAAAAAGCATTTTGGAAGTCATCTAACTTTTATACTGAAACCCAAGATTCTTAAAAGCCTCAGAGATGGTGGTTTATCTTAAACTCAGTTCCACTTATTAACATTGTGGTAGTAGTCCTTACAATGAAGAACTGAAGACAATTCATTTTTAATATATTAATGAGGATTTTGGAAGCATATCATCAGTATTTTTATACTGCAAAGGAAGGTAGTCAGTTGACTGATATAAACCAGAAGAGTATGTTTCCATTAAACAATATACAGTAAATATTCCCAAAGTTAGAATGGAGAAAAAAACCCTGACAATTTTAATGTATTTTTCTGATAGCCTTCAGAGCGGGACCTTATTTGTGCTTTTGAAATCCATAGTGCTCCCCTACCTGAGAAAATATCCTTCACAAATATGCAGACATGAAATACTTACAGAAGTAAATGTCAGTATCTGTGAATTAAGAAGTAAGTGAACACTTCTAACTGAAATGTGCTGCACCCTCTTCATTTTTAAATTTAATCTCAGATTTATCAATTGGCTTTGTCACTAAAGCAATTTTCACTAAAGCAAGGAAACAGTATATTCTGGATAATTCACAATCCAGAGTATGGCACACTTTTCTCATCAAATGTACTGCTAGTTAGCTAGCAAAATTGCTCACAAAAACTGCACTTCACACTACAAGATATCATTTCACAATGATGCACACATACACTTTAGTGTGTTGCAAGGAAGATATACCCTTAACTACATTAACTTCTCAGTTTTTTAAATTAAGGCATATTCAAATATTCTCATAAGTTTATACCATTAATCTAAGCTAAGTCCATGTATAAATGACTCCCAATAGAAGCGGAGAACATAGCTAGTTTCTCTTCCCTAATTTGCATAATTTTTAACAGCAAAAAGAAAAGCTTATATACTACCTTTGCTTAGTTTTCACCACCATTGTAGTTTTCAAGGCAGTAAGAAATAAAGTGAAAATTTGATGATATAAAAGTATATGCTTTTAAGAGAAACATAGAAAGTAATGCTTATTTGTTCACAGTTCAAGAAACTGCCCATGGGGGGAAAAAACCCTCTACATTCAGAAGAACCATGGTAAAAGGAGGCGAGTTATAACATGGATTGAATTCTGCTTCTCTTGAAGCTATATTAGATTTTTTTTTTTTTTCGGTGAAAGACTTCAGTGTTGTCCCAATGCATGCTTTAAGTGGTATATTAGAATTTCCAAACTATTAAGAGTGATTTCAGTCATAACAGCCTCCAAATGGCATGCTCTATGTCAATGGATTTTATTGTGGTCAAAGTATGAAAAGAGTTTGAAACTTTGATTATAAAATGCAACATCTTTCTCTGATCCTCTTGGCTAGACTTTTCCTTTTCTTTTTTCCATTCTTTTCTTTGCTCTCTTCCATCTTTCTTGCTCTGATTTCTCTCATTAAATCAAAAAATACCTAGGAGAAATATTAGTATTAATACATTTGATTGAATACTTAATATAACATGCATTCTATTTCATTTAGTTGTTAAGCCAAGAGGTATCTTCAATTCTACCTCCACCCTGAGCAGAAATTACAGAAGCTTGAAACTATTTTTAAGATTCCTTTGTGACAGAATTCCAAAAAAGCCATAAGCAAAACAAACAGAAACAGAAACATCCAGATCCCCTTTCCTTCACTTTTGCCATATTACTGAAACAGCAGCTCTTGTTGAAATTCTGTGAAGTTACTGAAGTCCAATAGCAGCCTTATTATTAGCCTAGTGTAGGTGCATTTCTTCAGAGCTGATGTTAAAAACTCAATAGGTACACAAAGCACAGTAACTAAAAATGTAACGCATGTATTAAGTCATATGAGGCAGGATAAGGCAGTGATCCACGAAGGGGAAATTACATGCCTAGAATCTAGAAAACTGTCTTGCTGTGTCTCAACTGCAGAAACAAAGATCATATTGCAAACTTGACAATGGGCTTGTCACAAGTTACATTAAAACTTAACATATGAAAAATACCACTGAATTCTACAGAACTCCGTCTCTCAAATTAGGAGCCAATAAACTTTCAAGGAACTCCTTGCCCATAACATACATAGCAACCATTCAGTGCTGCACTTTTTAGAGTAAACAAACAAAATTAATTTGCTGATTCAGCCTCTAACATCGGAGGTTTTTTTTAATGGAATTCTTTGTTACAGTCAAGTTTCTATGTAAGCCACACTCTCCCTTGCTTCTAGGAAGGCTTTGCTCTTTCCTTCTTTTGCTTCTCCTCCCCTGAGTTTCTTTTCCTTTTCTCCTTGTATTAAAAAGCTGCTAACCAAGGGGGGGGGGGAGCAGGATGGGCTGCTACCACATGCTGCCAGGAAGAGAAAGGGCCATATTCTTCCATCTCCCACTTCTTCCCTTCTCTTTCATATGAGCATAGGACAGAAGCTGCTTTGCAAATGACTGCAGAGCAAAGAACGATGAGGGTCGCAGTGACTCAGGCAGTCAGATGTGGAAAAAAAAATGGCAACCCGAGCACAAGAAGGAGAATGGGCTGCCTGCACCACTTGGTTTTATTTTCCTCCATGCTAAAGTTGTTTGTTATTTCCTGAACTCTGCTGGTGGATGTCCTGGAAGGAAGCAGTTGCAGCAGAAAATAAAACAGAACGTAATATTGAAAATTGGAATCATAGTACACTTATTTTCATTATCTCAACCCACTTCTCTTTTTTTAACATACCTTTTCAGATTTTAAGTTTTCTAGGTACAGGGAGTTTTTCCAGCCATAGCATGGGGATATAGTTACTTAAATATACACAATTATGTTGGCAAGTCTTATATGAAAAGCAGGATTATATGAAATAGGAAATAGCTTTTACCTTGTCAACATTAGCTCGTGTTTTAGCAGATGTCTCCACATAGTTAACATTCCACTGATCAGCTCTGTTTTTTGCTTCTTCTACAGAAACCTGTCTTTTATCTTCTAAATCCGATTTATTGCCCACAAGCAAAAATGGCACATTTTCATCTTCTTTTACTCTTAAAATCTGCTCTCTGGAGAAGAAAAAATAATCACACACACTTTAGATCTATGCAGTAATGTAAAATACATTTTATTATTACTTATCTGTGATAGCATTTGGAACTAAATATACAGAATATTTAAGTACCATGGTAAAATATTATAAGGATATAATTGTAACAGCCAAAGTAATTATAAAACCAACAGAAATAATAGTACTGAACAGAAGCTGGTAATCTGTAAAGTTTAAATTATGAACAATTAGTTATAAGAAAAGGATATGTGATCCAAGAATAACAGGGTAGGGCACTCTAAAAAGGAAATAAATCAAGATAAAAATATGACATAATAAACAACATGAGATAGGATGTGAAGAATTTACAGAGACTATTATGAGTTTATTGGAGTAACTAGTAACAAGGTAATAATGAAAGAGGAACTAAATGCAAATGTTGCCCTTGATACTTAAAATGACTGAACAGTGTTAAACAAGAAACATAGCAGAGATACTTATTTTCAGAATAACTAACTGAAAAAACCTTGTACCTTATTCTTCAAATGGAAAAAGTAGATTATTTAATAATGGTACTAAGTTTAACTTAATCAGAATAATGATACACTATTCACACAATTACCCTGTTTCTCTAATCTGACAGCCTTGTCCATTGGACCCTTACATACCTAACCTAGGAACTTTCACCTAACTTGCTATGCTATACAGTCAATGAAGAATCTCTTTCTACTTACTAGGAAATACAGCCTGCAATTTATGATTTGCATTGAGTGTGAAGTATGAAAAGTTGGGACCTAAACAAATTACTGATAGTTATTGATTTTATATCCTGCCTTTATTTTTTACAACTCAAGGTGGCCTGCATAATGCTCCCTCCAGCTATTTTCCCCTTAACAACCACCTTGGGATGTGGGGTGGACCAAGAGAGAGTGAGAAAGTTACCCAGCCAGTTTCCATGCCCACCAAACATTTAATCACTGAAGAAGCAGTTTAGACCAAGTGTGACCACTGAAGGCTATTTAGCAACCTCTCCCTCAACATTAAAAAAAACAACACCTTTTCACTCTTCAAGTTCAGTGACCATATTGACAAACATCACAAACAAAGGAATAGTAGCTGCTAGAGCATCTTTTGCACTTACATAAAATTTCATTTCCCTAAAGTTTCCAGAAATATATCTTCTTGGAGATCTTTTGCTTTGTTCACATTTGTTCCATCAACCTTTCATCCCAAACCATGCCATTTGTTTTACTCAGGTTCACTCTGATTAAACAGGGAATAGTTCACTGGCAAGAAGCTTGAATTCTCCCTTAGATTTAAGGAAGCCTACATCCTATGCATCCATCTCCCATCCAAAACTGTCAATGGAAATTCTGTAGCTTTAGAGAGTCTCTGGTCACATGGACTGTTCATATTAGGTTTTTACCTCTAAAAGTGATCTGATTTATTTATATATCTAACCATTTACCCCTGAAAAATGATCAGGTTTATTTATTTATCTATCCACCCATTCATTCAATTTATGGGATGGAGACTCTGAGAGTCTGATGATCTGGGATTTGGGATAAGTGCAGGATGGGGAGGGGGGGTAGAACGTCAAACTGATATATAGAATTGGCCTTCCCTGAGAATAGTCTATCCTGTCATCTCTCTCTCTGCCCATTAGCACAATGTTCCTATCTGCCCACCCACCACTTCTATCAGCCTCAATCCCCTAATCCCTGAAAGCCCACACCAGGCCTTGGGCCACAACATACCCAGATATTTTTGTCAACTGCACACAACCCACCTTCCAGCTTGCAGATGCACTGAGGAAGATCTTTCTGACCAGTATTCAGAAACTCCCTCCAGTTCCTGCAAGCAATCCAAACATTCACTTCCATCTTCAACCTATGAACACAGCTACCAGGCAGGACCCATTCTCACAGAGGTTCACAGACAACAGAACTTTATCACAAACTGGTAGTCTGAAGAAGAACCATCCCTACTCTTCCATATCTCACCTGGAAAGGGCAAGATGCCTTCCCTCTCCACTACCCACAATCTAAGGTAATCAGTGTGGTAATCCAACTACACTCTCACCCAATGGCTTCTTTGACAAGATCATCAAACAGCCATCATTCAACTTCCACCCCTCGCAGTCCTCTAACCTCCCCCATCCAAGTCAAATAAGGGTCAATTTCCCCAGGACTATCACTGTGGAGGAAAACAAAACAACCAACAGACTTTTACAACCACATGTCTTCTCTGTAGCACACAAACCAACTAAAGCCCTCCAAAACATCTGAAGTAAACCAAAAGACCCAGTAGCCCAAGAAGAAAAAAACAGGAGTCATCTACAACATATAATGTAAGGACTGTAACAACCACTATGTAAGACAGGCAGAAAGCTAGCAGAGCACATCCATGAACACCAGCTAGCAGTTGAAACATGATGAAAACTCCATAATCTTACAACACATGGACAGACTTAACCATAGTTTCAACTGGGAAACCGTCAGCATCTTAGACGAAGCTAAATCCAAAAATGCGAGGGAATTCCTGGAAGCTTGGTATTCAGACAAGGCAGCTATCAACAGGCACACAGAGATAAACAACATCTACACACTATTCAAAAGAGACAATAAAAAGGAAATAAAAGACCAGAATAACTCACCAGCAATCATCACCCAGATAAGCAGAGATTAACACCAAGATTATCACCAGACATACAATCAAGCAGTAAACAATACCCTAATCAAGGAACTTGGGGGGAGACCCATACCCCCACCAACACTGGCAGGGCATTCCCCTGTATATAAACAGAGAGCAAACCCCCCTCCCTTCTAGCACTGAAGATGTT